GAATGTCAAACAGCTTCGAGAGATCCCGTAGGTGTCGCCATGCGCTGGCTGGTAGCATGGTGTACACGTGTTTTGTTCTCACGATCGCCCAGGCCGGGCTTCTTGGAGTTGCGCGTCAGCTCATCGAACTTTCGCCCTTGAAGGAATGCGGATGATATGCCCCGAGATTCCACTTGACAGTCGTCGTGCGTTTGGGCCAATGATATCATCGCGCGCTGACTGACTCTGGCTGCAGTGGAGCTGTGTCGATCCATTGCATACTTCTGATTGTCTTTGAAACCCCGGCCGCATAAACGGGAACGTAGTACCCACTTCTCCTTCCACACCCATTTGCGCACCCAGACTGAACCAATGAAACTGTCCGACGCACAGTCCAATTTCAGTCTAGGTCGACAGCAATCATGCTGAACATATGAGATACCCTTACCTTTTGCGGGCTCGATGAAATCTCATAATCTTGCAAAGTCTTCTCCAGCAGTGAGTTGTTCTGCTTGTGATGCGTAGATTGGCATGCAAGTCTCTCCGAAGAGATCAGGGTGGAAACACTCGGAGTCGCCCGGACACTCCACGATGTACATGCTGCCAGTTCTTTTCCAACGTAGAGTGGAACGTGATGTGGAGGTCGGGTGATCCATGTAGTCCTCGAAATTGTCATTCGTGTGGCTCGCGTCTTGATATAACTGTTGAAGGTCTGCTCGCTGTGATGCACATGAGGAGCCAGCCTTCATCGTGAGAGAATGCGTGTAGTAGTCCTCGATGGGCGTCGTTTCTGATGGCGCTGCGGTCTCAGTCGGTTGACCATCCTACTGATCATCAGCAGGTACCAGTTGAAGTGCTTCTTCTGTTTAAACCACTGACTGCGCAAGTTGATGCCGGTTGGCGTCGTGATTATGTAGGGGTACGGGTTCTTCACATGTCTTATTGTGCTTGGTCATTTTCTGCGTTGGTTCCATGCTACCGGAAGCGTCGAGATTGCGCTTGCCCGCCTGCTGTCGCTCGCGTTCGCCCCCCTCAATGATCCTCTCCATGTCCGCGACGAGCATGGGGGATCCATCAGCAGGGGCTAGATCCTTCGCTCCCTCTCCTGCCGTCTGATATTTCATGTTGGTCTGCTGCTGCTGCCGTTCGGTTTCCTCGAGAATCTCTTCCATTCCCATGGTGAGGTCGATGTATGATACTGTAGCTCGCTGCATGCTCTGATCATGATGCTGATGACTGTCTCGAGAGGGCATGCTCTGATCACGTTGACAGTCTCGTGGAGGCATGCTCAGATCAAGATGACTGTCCCGCGAGGGCATACTCAGATCGGGCTGGCTGTCCCGTAAGGGGCGCACTCAGATCAGGCTGACTGCCCGCCGAGGGCATGCTCAGATCAGGCGAGCTCTGCTCGAAGACAAATGGCGGGGGAAACAGTTGCGCAGGTGCGGCAAGTGCTGGAATATGTTGCATCGGAGGTCTGACCACTGAGGATGATGCTGCGGGCGCGTCTCGAGATGGACCGCTGCTTGCAGGTGCTGACGATAGCGCTGGTACTCGTGCGAAGTCCGCCATGACAGGTATTTCGTCTGGTGCCCGTTGAGGAGGTGAAGGTACATCGTGCCTCGTGTCCAGATCGATGAGCGGGGTCTCGATGATCCCCGCTTGTCGGTAGTGTGGCGTCCGTGGTGTCACTTCTGAACTAGCATCTTTCAGCGCAGGTCGTGGTGTCCATGTCCGTTCCGGTGTCTTGATCAGTCGTCCGATTGCGCTGAAAGAAGGTGAGTCTGCGGTTGCTGGGGCGCCGGTGCTGGCGTCGTCAAATTGTCAACAGGTCGCTAAACGCTAAACAGCTTACCGCGGTGAATCACCTGAAAATCCCTCGACAACAGCTATGCTGGAGATGTCCAGAACATCAATCGGTCGATCTTCATCGTGAGGAAATAGAGAATCCCTCGAGGCCAAGATGAGGAAATTATGGTTGTACCAAGTCGCGCCTATGATCCTCTGAATATTGTTGGCGTCGTGAAGATTCAGCTCTCGGCTGATGTAGCGTTGACGTCGCTCCGGATACCAAGCTATACGCAGACCATATCGTAGTGGTCGCTGACTGCGAATCAATCGGGAACCTGCGCCAAAGAAGATGGCATCCACACTAGAGAGGCCGAAGAAGGAGTTCGCCAAGTTCAGTATGAATAACCAGAGCTTGGGCGGATCGTCGCGTAGGTCTCGTGGTTCCTAGGTCATCTTGCCTGTGCCATCTGGAACTTCACCCATGTGATGCAATACTCCTGGCGTGCAGCTTTCCACGACTTCCAATAGCTGAGCCAGAGCGCCTGGTGTCTCAGTGTTGTCGTTCGACTGCGCGTGAAATCCCAGAACTTGATCACACACTTGGCGTGGTCGAAGGTGTCCTGCTGGCGATATAAGAAGCTGTCCTTGATGCACCACAATGGCCGTGCCGAGATCCTTGGTCCGTGATCAAATATCCGCTGGTCCTCTCCATCCGTCGGCGCCCGTGCGC